TGCAAATATATTTAAAATTTTTAATATTTAAACACAATCGTCTTATTGTTAAAGACGCTTATGTGAGCAGTGCCTGCTTACTGTAATTAGATTATAGCGGTTTTGACGATGAGATGCGCCACTATGTCTGCCTATCTCTTTGTATCCGTTTAATAATAAACCAATTATCCATTTTCTTTTAAAATTCTAATATTATGCTTTGGACAAAATTTTGGAATTGAAAAACTCATCTCAGAATTTTGTCAAGAATATGTCTTTTTGGGAGTTGTTCTAAATTTGTATATCATTAAAATAAGATGTATGTATTTGCATTTATATAAAAGTTTCGAACTTACTATTATATAAGAAGTAGGTATATATAAATGATAAAATACTATTTATAATTTATAATTTGAAACATATACGTATTTAAATTTATTTGCAAAAGTCTATTTTATCAATTATATAGAAACTTGACAGTCAAATCAAAAAATAAATAAAGCCTGTATCAATATTATTACCTGCACTAGTGACAAGACCAGTACCGAACAAAGGTTGCAGAACATTAAAAATCAGTTCCTTTTCGATGTGTTTCGTGCTGCTTAGTATTGTCTAAAATTACAGAAAATTTGGATTTAAATATTATTTGCATACAACGTAATAAATTAATTATTTTCGGGAGTATTTTAAACATACAATCTGTAATATGTTTTTAATGAGTAAGTATATTTTTGCTAAATGTAAGAAAACAATAAATACACTATAATATCAATAATAAAAAGAAAATAATATTTCGTTTATATTTTATTACCTGGAGGTCATCTGGATGACGTATGGAGACAACGGGCAAAGAGAATGCCCAAATTTTTAAAATGGGATAGTACTGGTTAGTATGAGTAGTCAGAAACTTCCATTGTTTTTCTAAAAAGTGTATGTATATGTGTATTATGCAAATTTACTAAAATACTATAAATATTGATCAAAAAAATTTATTGATTTTATCTTACATTTAATATATTCTATTATTTCTCAAATAATTAATTCGGAATATAAATATTATTGCATGAAAAAGAAATCGAAGGCTGAAATAATTTTTAAAAGTAATTATTATGCTATAATACCAATATAGTCCGGGGGCTCATCGCAGGTTTTGTGGGCATCATAGTATTCAGTTGGAGACCCATATATGGTATTACTTTACTATTCCAGTGTTAAAAACAACAGAAGACCAGTTGGCATAACGTATACAGTGGATGTACATGTTAAGAACAATTTTTTAAATAATTATTTGTACAATAAAAAAAAATTACAGTATTCAGTCTGACAATTGTACCAATTTCTGAAGAAACAAAAAAATTCGACGTACTATAATTGGCATACCTCTAAAGTGGATGGAACTGGTTGGTATAGCAGCGCAAAGTGAGCTCTTAGGACACAGGCTCGTATGACAGTATTTGTATTGCCATTTAGTAAACAATCACATTTTTATATAAATTAATGGAATATATCGTTGGCATACTGCTCAGGTGGATGAAAAGATCACTACTATGTCGATTTCAAGATGTGCGTCAACACGATCGATCAGGTAATAGTATTTGGTATGCCATTTGACTTTTTAGTTATTTACAGCATGTACAATAAGAAAATGTAATTGGCAATACTAATTCATAGGATGCATACAGCATACTGGCATACTCGAAAAAGACTGAAAAAGAGCTTATGAGTATATGACATTATGTTTTGAACTTAATAAAAATTGATTTTCTCGTTATCTTTGAATTTTTTATTGAAAAACTTGACAGTTTTTAATATATTCTGACAAATTTTCTACTGCCCGGGTAGGTGTAAATGAAATCCTCTTTTTAAAAAGGCATTTATTGCAGTTATTGGTGTCGTTTATAGTTATGTCTAATTGTACTTAGTTTGTGGACGGTTGTTATTGTGGAGTTAACAAA